GTGTGTGTGTGTGTGTGTGTAGGTTTTCATCACTTGGCCATTAGTTTATTTATTATCAAAATCAAATATTTATTGTCAGGTAGAAGTTGAATTGAGGGTCATTTCAATATGGTTCAGAGTGGGCAAGGATCAATGTCATCAACTTCTATATTGCTTAAAAAAATTTAATTTGTGCAGAGTTAAAATGTTCTACTAACCCCACTTTGTTAGTAATTATTCATAAATAATCATTTATACACAGCCTAGAAGATCGCTAAATAACTTACATAGAAAGATATATAAATATCTGATTCATGTTTCATCTTTGTTTATGGCAGCTGTAAGTCAAGCCTGAGAAAGGACTTGTTATCTGTAGACACTTTAGTTATCTCAGGAAGCAGAAGTGAGAGAGTAGGGAAGGCAAAAGGGAGAAAACCAACATAAAGATATATTATCAGGGTGGCCACTTTGGACCTGACTGTTCCAGTCCAGCAAAGCTTACAGAATGCCTCCCAAAATTACACAGCTGATAGAACTAGAGTATCAATTAACCTGTTTCCTTCTCCTACTGGCTGAGAGTTGTCCCCACAGACATTAATTAATCCTGCACTTCTTGGTGCACATATACCTGGTGTACTCTGGGTGGTCTCTGGGTATGAACTGACAGCCTTCCCATTTGGGTCTGCCTCACAGAGTGTATTATTTTGCTGCTGCACCACTGGTGTTCTTAATGACTGAAAAAAAAGTTTTTCAGATCAGCAACCTCATACTGCTGGGGCTGTGTTGGTATGTTTCAGGAAAGATTTTGTATCTCAAAAAATTTAACAGACACAAGAATGAAAAGTTATCGGTTGATGATAACTTTTTTTTTTTTTTTTTAGAGATTTTTGCAATAGGGTACATGTGGTCAGTGGAGAGACAGAGAGACAGAAAGCAAGAAATCACTTCCCCAGTGGGTATGGCCATGCCTCAATCCCTTCTCCTCCATTCTCCTGTCAGGATTTGGGGCACACATGCACATGCACCTGGTGTGTTTTAAGCCTCCAGGTCCGGGATTTGAACCGTAATCAACTACATGGGAGTCTAGCGATGTAACCATTACATCATCTACTGGTCTCGAGAATATTTCTGTGATTCAATTCATGTGCACTGCATTCATACTGGGAAAACTCATTTTGTATGCTGCAAAGATGTACAGTGATTAAATGTAAATTTTAAAACATTTTAAAAATAAAAGGCCAGTAGCATGGTGGTTAAGGTGCTGGATTCCCACATAGCTAACCACAATTTGAGTCCCTGACTCTGCAGCTTGAAAAACACAGCAGGCATGTGTGTGTGCATACCTAAAATCCCAAAAGGAAAAGGGAGGAGAAGGAATTGTAGCAGGGCCGTCATCCGCCGGAGGGTGATTTCTCACTTTCTCTCTTTCTCTCTCTCTCTGTCTCTCTAGCAAGCACACATGCCCTACAGCAAAAACCATAACTGATTTACTATCTTGGCTGGGACCGAGAGGTGCAATTTTAGGGATTTCCACTGACCCTACATAATAGATTTATTCCACAGGTCAGGGAACCAATGTGAACCTATTAAGAATATTTGCCCCAGGTATGTACTAGAGACCAGGAAATTACCGCAGGGACCCTTCTGGACCAATTGAAACTACTGTGAGATGGATTGGAGTTGAAACTGAATTTATTACCTTGTATCTGCAAGCTCCTACTCTAATTGAGGAACTGTGATGACATTTAAGACCATTTAATATCAAGTCATCTCAGCCCTGTATACAATAATCTATATACAAGGATTAAGTATCCCACTTGTCTTGGAGTACAATTACTTTACTAAGTGGTTTAAGGTCCTTTGGGGGAAGAGTGAGTGAATGTTTATTGTGGGTACTTCTGGTAGGAGAGGTGACATTCACTTCAACCTGACATCACTTTGTTGCTGATGGTTGAATGTCATTACCTGCTTCCTATGTTATGAGATGCTATCATTTCAATTAATACAGGTTGCTCAATTCTATGACATCATATCCTGCTTGAATCCTGGCTGATAGAGTATGGGTACAACTGCTTTTTCTCAAAAGACATTGGTACATCCTTTATTGTCTTAGTAAAGAGTGTTTTCTGGACTTTTTCTGGGAAAGTAGCGGTAGTTGTCTCACAAGGAAGAATTCAATTCTTTGAGCCTCTGATTTCTTCCTTTTTTTTTTTTTTTTTTAAGGGTTTTTGCCATAGGGACAGAGAGAGAAAGTGAAAAATTATCTTCCTGGGGGGGTATGACCACGCTGCAATTCTTTCTCCTCCATTCCTCCATTCCTTCTCTCAGGATTCTCAGCACATACATACATACACAAACACACACACACACACGCCCAGCATAATTTTTGAGCCACTGAGTCTGGGACTTGAACCATGTTTGGCCATATGGGAATCCAGTGCCTTAACTGCCATATCACCTGCTATCCCCACTTCTTCAATTTTTTGATAGGGCAGTCCAACATCTCTGTTTCAATTAGTGTAGCACCATCGTGACCAACTTTCAAGAAGCTATACCATCAGCCTATGACCAGTTTAGATGTCCTTCCCAGGATATTAAGTCTTAAGTCAGAAGAGCGCACCATGTCAATAAACCCTCCTCCATCCAGCCTTATATTCTGCTCCTCTGGACCAGCACAGTCAAGATCCAGCTTCACACAGATTTTCCAATTTCCGGTCAGGACTTAGTAGCCAGTTCCTAAATTCTTGCAGTAAATAAGCTATTTTTTTCCTAGAATAAGGACTAAATTTTCTCTTAGCTGAAACCTGATGTCACTCTTAAATCAAGGAAGGAGGGAGGTTAGAGCTTGAGGAGGTACGTAGTCATCTCACAAGCCATGAGCCTCAAGGAATTCAGTGTGTGGTCTCTAGGGAAGAAAAGGCTGCTCCCCATTGATGTGAGAGAAAGAGCTGCTCTGACTGGCATGGTGGTCTGCAGGAAATCTGGCACTTAAAGCTCCTCAAACATGTTCACCCAAATGTTCTCATCCTGGGTCTGAATCCTACTCCTTAGATATCAGGGCCTTGACTCTAGTAGAAAAGACTTGAGGGTCTTTTATCTCCTATGCCTGTCCACATCCTTCTGATAACATGCTGGGTCAGATTTTCAGTACAGCAGCCCAGTCTCTACACACCATCAGGGAGGCCCTTTGGCTTTCACAGTGTACCCTAGGTTGCAAGTTGACTGATATGTGCCACTTTATCTTTTCAAGGCCTCCAAGACAGTTAATAAATGCTAGCCATTCTACAATTCCACAATCCCTTGTCCCCATACCATTCTAGAGACAGAGCTATCAGATAACCCATTGCTTCTCCCTGTCCCCCCAAGGTGAGAGTCATAAGATTTCTGATACACACCAGGGGTTATCACCATCCTCCTTGTCCTAGTGCCGAGAGTGAATGATCCATTTTCAGAATCCTATCCAGAGGATGTGCTGTCCAGGTGCACTCCTCATACCAAAGTTTTTACCTCCCTCCTAAAGTGGACCCTGAGACAAATGCTTGAGCCTAAGTGGTTGAGTTGTGATGTAGCCCTAGGAAGCAGGAGTTACAGAACATGAAGAATGAGAGATGGAAGAACATCCAATACAAGGGTTTATTACTGAGGTTGCCATTGTGAGTATATGGGACTTGAATTCAGGATCGGCACCTCTTTAGAAATAAGCATTGCTTCCCACAATTCTCTTCTCGAAGGACAGGAGACTGGAGTATTTTTCCACTAGCCTGAACCCGTTGGTGTCAGGCATTACTCCTCTGCACCTGTGGCATCCAATTGCACACAGGCCTAGGGGCCTCCGTAGCTTGGAAAGAACACTGAGTCATAAAGCGGAGAAAGGGGCACTTCTTGAGGTGAGTTGCTGTCATCAAAAGATGGATCTGAGACTGAATGGAACTCCCACTACAACTGTGACTGAAAACCCAAGGTGGACTTGGGGGTGTATTTTAGGGTATCACAGAAGTGCTGCTCCCAGAATTCTCAACTGGTCTGGACTGAAAACCTTTACTTCAAATGTACAATTTTATTTTTGGATATAAAGGCAAGTTG